TCGCCGAGCAGCCGCCATCAATCGAGGACTGCAGTGGCGCGTGACCTGCTGCGGCTCCTCTGGGACTTCCTCCTTCTGCTCCTCGCATGCGGTGAGGGCGGTGGGCTGGGGACTTCCTGTACTCGGAGAGGATTGGAAGATGGATCTTTTCGGTTCGTTGTAGGCCTGGTATTGGAGGCAATATGAGGCAATAGGTTTGGCATCAAGGGCTGGTATTCGGATGCGTGTGCCATGCGTCATGTTGCATGCTTGCATGGTTGCATGCTTGGCACATGCACGACCTGGACACATCTTCGGAAAACATCATGATCATACCTCTGGCGCAATCCTTGCACGAGTTTTCGCTCCGAAGTTGGCTTGTGGGCCAATGAAAGTGGGCTTTGTGATCTTAAACCAAGTTGGTGTGAACATGGACTTGCGGCAAGGTCTCTAGTGAACGATGCCCATCCGAACCTGACTGGCGGTCTCCTGGTTGTTTTCCTCCTTGGCTGGGTTTTCTCCCTGTTGCAAATGCACCTCCTCCCGGTCCACATTCCTAGCAAAAGCGGCCAACAAAGGGCAAACGCACAACGTGCAGCGCGCAACGCTTTGTTTGGTCCCTGCTTTGAACTCATGGCACTGCTGGCAGCTGCAATAGGTGCTAGAACATGCCCATCCAGCTCAATCTGACCTCCATCATGCCATGTTGGCTCCAAGCATGTCTGTTCCTGGCTGAATATCAAATGGAGTGGACCTGCGACAGGACCACCAAAAAGAGGGGTTAGGAATGACCAAACCTACCCACATCCAGCAAGATTCCCCTTTTGTTGTGTTTCAATTTTCAGTGCGCTCACCAAAACCTGCCTCACCCGCAGGTTAACCCGATGGGCTTCACACAGCCAAACCCCCCGCAGGCCTCGGCAAATCTGCCTGGTGAGGCATTTGAGTTGGGGGAAAAAGAGTCTTTCATCCAATGACCTTCTGAATTACTGACTTATCGTGAGTTATCTACAGTACCTCTCCTGTCCTGCCTGTGATTTGATATGTGAGAGTATCATGGAAAGAAGCTGGCCACGCGGACAACGTCATCATCAGCGGCTACAATCGAACAAACACACTTAGTCACACACACCATCAAATTCAAGAAAAGGGACATCAGGGTAGTAGGTCCACCAAACCTGCATGTGTTGAACACTCTCAACATGTTTGGCACTTCGTACGGCCTTCCTCTTCTTTTCTTCCGCGATTCCGATTAGGGTCGTCACTTCAAGTACTTCGGGAGTCGAACATGGCAGTGAGAGCAGCTCTGCTGCGGCAGCTGGTGGGCCTCCAACTTGGGCTTGCAGTGGATGATAAGGTTCAAGGCCCAGTTGGCCTCGCCACCATCAGTCCTGGAGGATGGGCTTCCATGAAGTTCCATGCGTCGGCTTGGTCGTCAGTCGGAACGATCGTCGCACGATCCAAGGCTTGGATCAGTGGCTGGGGACAGCTGCAACACTTCTTGCCTCCCTTTTATGTTGCCCAAGGCGGGAGGACGGGGACAGGTTCGCAAGATCAAAGGATGAACGATGTGCATCGGGTTTGTTGCCTCCTCCTGGGCAATGGAATTGAATCTATCAAGCAATGTCCTGTCTGAGCGTAGTGGTGTGGGTAGCATCGATTGAACGGATGAGATTGAGATTTTTGACCACGAGGACAACAACACCAGCAGCATCTTTAACATGAATGTAGGACAACATCGACAACTGGAGCTGTTTGCCTTGGAGTGCTCGCCATGACACAGACTTAAGTGAACACCATCTAGCATGATCTCGATTGTTTTCGGGCCTGTTGCCCAGTCCAGCCAGTCCTTCCAGTCGATGTTTCCTTTTGGATCCTTTTGGTGGATCTCTGCATCTTCGGAAGATTGGAGGGAAACGAGGGCAGATCTCTAAGTGCCAGAAGCACGGTTGAACACGGAATGGACTGCATCTAATTGTACTCAATCCCACCCTGGTCATCATGATAGTCAGGCGCATCTTGGGTTCTATAGACCTTGGAAAAAAGCCTCCCCAACTCTACCTGGAAGAAGCATCACCCTGAATACGTGCCTCCTGCCTCCTTCAACCTGTTTCAACAAGTCATTTCCCGCAAGTTGTTCTCCAAATCTCCCGCGATTTTTTCTGCCGTGTCCCATCTCCTGCGTGCGCAGATTTGGTTGTTCTCCTCGAAAATCTCGAAGGTGTCTGGGAAGTTGTCCTTCATACTCAAGGTGGCTGCAATGCTGTCCGTCGAAATGGCTCATTGGAACAAACACTTTGTGGCAAGCTACCAAATAAGTTACAGAAGTAAATCACTTAGTAAATTCTTCGTGACTCCTTGCAGTTCAACACACTTGGAATCACAGACCTCCTCAGATGCCTCGAACCACTTCCTCATGTTTGCCATCGACCGGGCCCTGTGCCCGTCTGCGCCCGTCCCGTTTCGCATCGGTCCCATCCGCCTTGCGTCGGTTGCCGGACTCTGGCTCACAGGTCACGGGCACTTCAGGCCTGAAGAGCCGGAGCGAGCTCCGCTCCAGCTCCAGCTCGCTGACAGGTCGTGTTTGGGAGCCGGTTTGGGGATGCTTTTGGGCTGTTCGGTAGGCTTTTGGCGCTCCAGTGCGTCCAGGGCGTGCGGAAGAAGGAGCCAAGCTCAGAGCGTCCGGCGGGTCGTTGAGCCAATCGAAGGTCGCCAGACACATCGGTCGCCAGAAGCCAATTCTATAGAAGGGTGATTCATGGTGATGCCAGGCCGCCCAAAAAGAAAACGAACGCCGAGGCACGACAAACACGGAACACCACACCAGAACACCCTCCAGAAAAAACAACCCCCCCCCCCCCCCCCCTTGGCCAGTTGATTCCTTCCCGTCTAGTCGAGTCTGTTCGGAAAGCGCTCGGTTCGCCGTCTGCGGGTCCGGGCATCACACACTTCTGCATCTCGCCAGCGGTTTGAGAGCCGATCACGACTTCCTGGACGCGAGGGACGCCGTTGGTGTCGGGCTCACGGTGTCTGAGGTCTGACCGTGCACAGGTCTCGCCTCGCGAGACCGTGCACATGGCTGCAACGCTCAAATGACAAGCTCTCACGATGCCTGGGGGTCTGAGGGTTTTATAGCTCCCCCCGCTAAAAAAGAATCAACACACACACACACACATGCGTCATCAATGACATTCAATCATGTGTTTCTCCTCCTCCTCCTCCTCCTCGTCCTCCTCCTCATCCTCATCATCTTCTTCTTCTCTTACTCTTGTGGTCCATTCTGGTCCATGTCTGTATCCTTCACCCTACGCATGACTCTCGCTCGTCGCCGACCCTTCCGTCGCGTGACAGCGCCTGGAGCCCGGCAAGGGCGCTATCCACCAGCAGCTTGCAGCGCATCACATCCGACTCCTGCGCTCATGGAGAAGGCAAAAAGGCCACAAAGGCCGAAAACGGTCATAAGACCGTTTTCGGACTCCCCTTAGGCGACCATGCTTCCCTCCTTTTGGGTGTCTTCCAGAATCTAGGTCTCGCCAGAAAGAACATCAGGGACATCAGGAACTGGGGTTTCCAATGACTTCCTGTCGCTACATCTACATTCTGGGACCCTGGTCCAACTTTTCCGTAAAAAGCCACTTGGTTTCATCGAGTGAACTCGACGTGAAACGCACGGCCATCCTTTTTTTCACAGCATCTCTTTGGTCTTCAACCTGGAACCTGACGTGTCCGAGCTGGTCTCCACCGATTCATCGATGGATCGCCTGCGTCGCCCCGAAAAGCAAGCGCTGTATGTTCAGCAACGTCAAGCATCCAGGGCAAGGGAAGGGCCCTGATAAACTGAATTAATCATACACAGCTGAAAGTTCTGAAAGCTCAAAACCGCCCAAAATCCATGGTTCGTCCAACCATGACATACCAAGTGCACTACCATGACCCTTTTGCTTCACCCTGAACGCATCCCCCAAAAAACGAGGCATGGACTGAGTGCTAAAGAGTTCAGCCTTCTTGGTTCAGCACCCCTTTTCGAGTCGCCCGATCTCTTGGATTCGTCTGATTCTCAGCTCCCATTCGTCAGCACTCGGTCTCCACCTCTAAGTTGACTTAGCGGCTGTCTGTTGTGCTTGTCAGGCTTGGTGAAGCTTGGATGCCTGTTTGATACTCCCAAAAACGCTTCACCCGAAGACTTGGGCAAGAAGTCGCAGGGGCCGCCAAGTGGAAAGACTTGGCAATGCTGACATAGCCAAGCAAATGCACAAAGTGTGCAGCTCCACCAAATCTGTTGTGAAAGGGAACGGCGGAAAAGCTCGCCAACCCAGCATGCAAGCCTCTCACGTGATCCCTGTGATGTCGGCCTCAGGCTCGCAGCAATGTAGAGAGAGAGAGAGAGAAAGAGAGAGGGGGGGGACGCTACTAGGAGCAAAGGGCATCGCTACCAGGAGCAAGGAAGCTACTAGAGAGATAGAGAGAGAGACACTCCATCTCAAGTCCTGACAGGAGAACACTTAGATTTGGCGAAATGGAATGGACCAAAGGCCGGGGGTTGCCATACTGATTGGACAGAACTGACCCACCTCCCCCAAGGCCTCTTCAACTTTAACTGGAATCATTCTGCACAGCCATTGCCACCGTTAACCGTTGGTTACTTCAACCTCCAACCCCCAACTGCACAGCAACATTGAAACCAACATGCCTTATCCATGCAGGGACTACGTACCACAAAGCTTCAGTTCAGTCTGTGAACTGACCTATGTAAAGAGATACAGCCTCCTCCATTGTGTTGAGCTATGCCAGCTATGCCTCATTTGTATTCATTTGCCTGGTTGGAGGCCATCGCTCTTAGGTTGGAGGCCATGGCTAGTAGAAACAAGTGCCACGCTAGTAGTAACAGGTGCCTTACTAGTAGTAACAAGAAGCTAGTAGAAACAAAAAACATCATTACTCTATTCTGCATAATTGAGGTCATTGAGGTCCCGGCCCTGGCAGCTCATTCCCATCGCCATCGGCCGCATCCGTCAACAAGGTCAATCGCCACCGTTACGGACTCCGCCGTTGTAGATCTCGAAGACGCTCTCGCCTCAGTACCGGTGCTTTAAGCCATGGGCACACGGCTTTCACTTCGGCCGCATCAAAGAGGTACCAGTACATCTTGGATGAAGGGAGTGTAGCTTCAGAACTTACATAAAAGGTCTGTGCTACTGGCATCGCAATACCCAGACTTGTGTGACTTCTGTGGACGGAATCATCGCAGCTCCCTTTTTGGAATCGCGAACCGTTCAACTCATCGTCCGCACAGCCACTCTCTGGCAGGCAGGGAGAGTCGTAGATCTTGGCCACACGTTGATCTCCGCGACCCTTGCGTAACATCACCTCACCATTCACAGCAGCAGACCCTTCCAGTTCTGAAAACAACTCACATCCAATGACCCGAAGGCAAAAAACAACCTACGAAAGCTCTGTCTGTGGACGAACTTTAAAGCATGAATGGCTGGTCATCGCTCGTGGAGAAGGATGCGCACGTTGCCGGAAGAAGGCACAAAAGGCATCAGCGAGGTGAACTGGCTGGTGATCCGTGATTGTCTTAAGCATTGGGAAAAACACCACAATTCACAGTCTCCTCTTTTCTAGAGTGGCATTTGAGTGGCCCAGTTGTTCTTCCTTCATGTCCCACAATGCAGCAGTGGTACTCGGCACGGCCAAAAGAAATGAGACGACAGTTCTTGTGTATTCTTGCGTCATCGTGCGTCCCTGAACTCATCTACCTCTAGGTCACTAGTCACTAGGCTGTCACAAAAGCTTTCGATGCTCCTTCGATGCTCGTTCTCTCTGCATTGTCTCCGCGTCGTCCGCCGGTGGAGCAGTCTGTCCGCGTCGTTTCCCATCTCCATGTGGCGGAGAAGCGCGCGAACGAGTCAGTCGGCTTGTACGAAACGAGGCGCGCGTGTGGTGGAGAAATGCGCCAAGATGTGTCCACCCACGGGCTTCGGATAGCTGGGCATGAAGGCGCAACCGCCACCAGGATCTGCCATCACCTGACCAACTGCGCATCTCCGGAGGATTCAGGACCAAGGTGCGCAACCACTAAAACCAAAGGCGTGCAGGCTTTGGAAGGCGACATGTCTATAGTCTATAGTCATGCCTTCATCAATGTCATGGATGTTTCTCGCACAAAGGTGTGAGCATGTTCTCTTTTCGAGTACCTACTAGTAACAAGAAGCTACTATGTAATAAAGGACATCGCTACGAACGGAGCGATCGGACGCTACGAAACGGACGCTACGAAAGGGGCGCTCCTGGCCTTACTACTAGTAACAAGAAGCTACTTAGTCCTGTGCAAAGAAGTCCCTGGAGGGGGACAACATGCGACAACTTTCTTATTCTTAGACGAGCTAAGCTTCTTTGATTTATTTGTTGGTTTTCTGCAGGCGATGAAACCTGTCGTGTTGGAAACCTGAGGTTGCCATGAACCGGTTTATTCCGGTTTTCTCATGTGTTCCCAAGCCTTGTCGTGCACCCTTGATTGATTTGCTTGATCCTTTTGTTTATGCGCTTCCCTGTTGACCCCCCTCCAAACGCTAACACGATACCTGCACGATAAAAACGCTGAACTGGCAAGGCACTTGATTGGAGAGCAGCACTGCCACATTGAACTCCTTCATGTCAAACAAAGAAGTGAGAGGCCTTGAGCCTACCAAGAAGCTACAGGCAAGAAGCTCGGGTATACCTTTTTTGCATTTTCTCAGGTTTCTGTGCAGGCTCCTCTGCTTGACCTAGAGTAGTCTTCCTGCCCCGCACCAAAGATAGTCTATCATCTCTCTGAGGCCTATTGCTCACCGGATGATGGACATATCCAACCAGGCACTCAGCTCACACAGGTCCTCACTGACCTTCTGCAGCTTGTTCATCACGCGCGCCAGCTTCTGCTGACGATCCGCCAGCTCACCACGGCCCGAGTAGTCCACTCGAAAGCCACCCATGATGGAATCCACCACCAGCAGGGCGAAACGATCTTCATCGTTCACCATCAAACCTCACGAAATCTGAAGAACATCTGCAGAAATCTCAACAGATGTTTCGCTACTAGGAACAAGTGCCTCGCTAGTAGTAACAGGTGCCTTACTGGTAGTAACAAGAAGCTAGTAGAATCCGACGAGATCGGAACAAACCTATCCGGAGTTGCTGAAGTGAGCAACTCCACTGACATGAAGAAACAGTGGGCTCCCATCAGCTTCTTGCGAAAAGGGTTTACCCTTTGAACCAGCAGCGTTTATGTATCGGTTGAATTCTCATGAATTGGACGATGGTAAAGAAGGGAAAGAAATGCGTGATGACATTCGAAGCCTTCCTGGAACAACTGGTGGATGGCAGTGGGCCTCCTTCCTCTTGAGTGGGTTGAAGATGGACACATGACAACCCAACAAATCTCTTCAGCCATCTTTAATCCACATCTTTCGCTACTAGTAACAAGTGCCTCGCTACTAGTAACAGGTGCCTTACTAGTAGTAACAAGAAGCTAGTAGAATCCACGTCGATATGTTGATGAACGCACTTTCGGACTTGCCGAAGGGCTGGCCGCTTCCTGCAACAAGTGCTCCAAATGATCCGAGGTGTAGCATCTGGCCTTAGCGTAACGACGCTACGAACGGGGCTCCTGGCCTTACCACTAGGAACAAGAAGCTACTCTTTCCACACCCTGCCCCTCCAAAAACCAAGATCTCCCCGGCCGGAACAACCATCCCGCCATATCCCGTCCCCTCCCTTCGCCCCCCCATCGCCCGCTTCGTCCGTCGTGCTCAGCGGCGTAGATGATATTCTCCATGGCTGCCTCGGCGCTCACGCCCTTGGCCTCCGCGATCTGCCGGAGGCGCTCGGGGCGGAAGGTGCCCTCCGTGTCGATGTAGACCACCTGACGTCCACGCGGCCCATGTGGGGAGGGTGGAGACATGGCGAGACGACATGAGAAGACATGATGAGACCAGGGGATCAAGGTGAAACTGTGAAACATAGGCCTTTTTCGTTGCTTCCTCGACAGGGTCTTGAAGTTTTTGCATGTCTTTTTTCTTTTGGGCTTCTAGTCCAAAATCAACAAATCAGGGTCATGCGCGGAAAGGAAACCACGGGCTCTGCCTTGCCATTGGCTCCACCCATGTTGTTGGGCAGTTGCGCCATCACCGAGAGGGAGTGGCAAAGCTGTGTCTTGCCACACCTGGAAAGATGGAAATTCTGCAAAAAGATGGGTGACAGGAGCAACGTCCTTCACGGATCTACACGGTGAGGTGGTCATGGGTGGTCTAGCTTAGATGAACAATGATGAAAACATGTGCTCGGAAAGAAGTGATGAATTGATCTGCGCACTTCCATTTCTTGGCACAGTCTGGATGCTTCTATTTATATGCAGCTACCTTCTACCTGGTCGATCCCGTCTTGGGGTCTGCAACCTCTCATAGGTTGTTGGAAGCCCAGGCCCACGTGACACTGAACGCGAATGGGCGGAATGGAACCGCAGAGATGATGTCGAAGGCCAGCGCGTGAGAGAACTCTCACGCCGCACACTGGCACCGCAGTCGTGCGTGGTGAATTTTTCACAAAACACCTGCGTGGTTTAGTAGTAACAAGTGCCTTACTAGTAGTAACAAGAAGCTACTAGTAACAAGTGCCACGCTAGTAGTAACAAGAAGCTACTAGTAACAAGTGCCACGCTAGTAGTAACAAGTGCCTTACTAGTAGTAACAAGAAGCTAGTAGTGGCTTGCCTTCGGGCAAAATGACATCCTCCCTCAGTGGCCACACATTGACACGAACATGTAGTGCTCTGCCAGTGCGCTCTGCAAAGGTCTTTAAACAATGTAGCCTCCGATTGCTGAGTGATATAAGTCTCCCACCGCAGTCGATGACATCTAGCACCAAAGCTGGATCATCTGCAGAAATCTTCCCACCCACCAAATCTTCCACCAGGCTCTCCAAAGGCTGTCCGGCATGTGCTGTCTTCCGACCAAAGGTTGAGGCCACGCTGTCCTGCGAGTAGAAGACCTCGGACACCGCCACCCTCCGTGGCTGTGCTGATGGATCACAGGGTACCTGGTGGGCGCTCGGCCGCAGGGTGACATGGGCCGAGAGCACGTCGGCCCGCTTCACCCGCAGCACGACGACCTCCTGAGCTTCCTGTGAACAGTCACTGCTGTCGGCATGTGCAATGGCACCCCCCTGGCACGTAGAGGTGAGCGCCGCACGAGGCGATCGTGGTGCTGCGGTAGACCCTGCACTTGCTTTCAAGCAGCTTCCACTCCGTGGTGCAAGGTGTCCACATGTGGATTCTGGCGGCTGCTCGGTAGGATGAAGCTGTGAGCACAAAGACCCGCCCACAGGATCCAAAAGTGAGACCAAGCACACCAAGCTGCTTTTGTGTTCTCCCACGCCTGCCTGCATAGACGTTTGGAAAGGCGCCATCTGGCAATGGAGGGCCATCAGCTTGGATTGCCTGACATGATGAAGTGCTCATTTGAATGGACCAACAAGAGGTGCCAGCAACTACGAATGCCCGGTCACCTCGCATGGCAGCTTTCACTGACGGCCATTCCGGCTGATTTGGCAGCTTGATTCTGGCAAACTCTTCCGAAAAAAACACACCCGTTTCTATTGTGAAGAAGTGGAGGGTGATGATGGGGCCACTGTCGCAATGCTGCCAAAGAACCATCGCCACTTCATGAGAATGACGCAAAGGGTTAAAGGCTCTGGCTGGGCAACAAGCAAGCACCACAAATCCTGTACTTGACAGCTTGCTTGAGTCAAAAGACTTCCAAGCAACTGTTGTCAGCGAGCGTGGGTGTGACAAATCAATCACACAAAAGGTAGTGGCTGCACTATTGAACATCAATAGCCTACGCTGGTGCCCGACAGCAGACACAGTACTTTTTGTGTTGGAGCTGAACCTTGTAGGCACAAGATTTCTTGCCACATCACCTGGTATTGACAGCTGGAAGGACGATATGGTTCTTGTCCGAAACTCATACAGCTGGGCGGTGCATTGACTCAACTGGCCAGGCTTCTGAAAATAGACCATCCCATCAGTGCTCAGAAACAAAACGGCCTCTCCTACATCAATAGCCAACTGATCAGCAGGACGATGAGTCTGTCGACCTAATAAGTTTAGGTCATGTTGCCAGCTGACAGGTATGTCCTCATCTTGATTTGAAATGGCACAGCTATGCTGTGCAGGGCACCTTCTGCATTTTGGGGAGCCACAAGTCTCACAATAGCTCCAATCACAGCAGCGCAGTGCTAAGCAATCAACACACTTGACTAGGCACTTCGGACAGCGCAACTTGTCACAGGTGGTGCATTTTTGGCATGATGTGCCTGCACACATCGCGTGACACTTAGCGCATTTGAAGAAGCACCTGCTGCAAAAAGGTCGGTTGCTCTTGAATCTTGAGGTGCATCCTGGGCATGTTGGCCCACCACAGTCTTGACAATGAGGCACCATGCAAGCACCACATTGCTCCACACAGCAAAATGCACAGGTGCTAAAGCCTTTCTGACGTGAGCAGCTTGTACACACAGGTCGCTGCTCGGGCTTGGATAAGCAGTGTCGGCTGAGTCGGCTAGCACAATTCTTCTGGCAGTTGAAGCACAAATGTCTGGAACAACTGCTGCATGCATTGTCACAAATTTGGGCAAAGCAGAAAGCGGCTTCCTCCCCATATGCGAGGCCCATCATCATCCCCTCGATGTCATCTCCACCCAAGCCAACATCCTCATGATAGACCTGGCTTGCCTCTTCACCACATTCACAACAACGCGGCATGCGCCCGACATTTCTCAACTGTCGCTCCCTCTCTTCGATTTCAGCGGCACGTGGGTCGTCGAGCATGGTGCACGCGTGGGTCGTCTGAGACTTCTTGGGAATGGAACCAAGTTTGAAACAGAACCTAAATACCTCTTTTGGGAGATGTAATTTATAGTTCTTCATGACTGTTGGAGCTTTCTGATTTCATTCACCTGTGACCGAACGAGCCAAACATTCAAGGAAACTCAGCATGTTTCTGACACTGACTTTGCTCCAAGAAATCTATATGCGCATTGATATGCAGGTCTAAGGGCTGCACATGGCTGCGCATGTCTACACCACCAGAACTCTCCAACCCCAAAACCACCACAGAATTCCTCGGTCCGGACCGCCTGAATTCTCCGAAGACCTCCGTGATGGAGCAACTCTCGATGCCGCCGCCCAGCATCTGATCGAACTTCCCGGCGCCCGTGGCGATCCTCGGGGGGGGGCGAACCATGCGGCGTCGGCGTCGGACGCGCACGCGACCGCGGATCCAACGGAGGTGGCGAAGTGGCCGGCTCTTCGGTTCGATGGAATGATCGGACGCGATGGAAATGGATGGAGCCCCCCAAAGGGAGCTCAGAACGTGCCATACGCACCACGCAAAGCGAGACACTGCCATGCGCGCTTCGTGGAATGACACGTTCCGATCAGTTGGCCGCCCCCCTCTCTTCTGCCATGTTCTGCCTGATTCCTTCAAAACATCCAGCAGCTGGAAGAAACCAGTTGGAGGGGAGGACCACCCCTTAGCAATTGTTTTGTGCTTATTTCCAACCCCGCCATACCGCCTGCAATCCACAAAAGGCCAAGTTTCTGAAATCGATTTTTCATCTTGCTCACCAACCTCAGTGTGTTGTGGGGCTGGGACTTGACTAAACTACTGGGATAGGGCACGCGGAGAGCAACACTACCAAAACCCGATGATTCACTGTCTGATCCATTCTGGAAGCAGGAATGGAAGTGGCCTCCGGTGAAATGAGTCCTTGGAGCCTTTCCACTCATGCAATTAGAACCAACGAAGTTTCCACAACAAATTCTTGGCCACACTACGTCACATTTCTCTTACAATCGTGTTCTTGTCTTCATTCGCTGGAAACGGTGACACCCAACAAACACGCGGCGCCGCTTGTGGCCAGTGGCTGGGAGCAAGTGATGAAGCCCACCTCGCTGGTCTTCCGGGCGGCCTCGATGATCTTATCCACCTTCTGATCTGAAAGGCCTTTGATGCTCAGCAGCTCCTTCCATTTGGCGCTCCAGCTGGTGTGTCCGAGCCAAACGACACGACCCGAAAACAAAACTGCAGGGTTGCTCTGTAATGCTATGATACCACACCTGTGAACATCCCATTCTGGCCCATTCTTGCAACAAATCCCAAACAAAAGCATGAACATTTGGGAGCACACGCACAACATCGTACATATGAGAGCACCTGAGAGAGAGAAATACAAACAAACACACACAAACAGAAAGAAAGAGAAAAAGAGAGCGCACGCACAGGAGCACGAGCACACATGTGGGGTCACGCAAGTGATGGCACTTGTGTGGGGGTGCAGGGTCCCGCAGTCCAAAAGGCACACGGCTCATCTCCTTGCGCATGGTGAAGGCCACGGACTGGCTGGTGTTGTAGCCGGCATCCTTCAACTTCTTCAGATCGGCGGCGTTGATGCCTGAATCCTCTCCAGAGTGACCGCTTCCATTGCATGGATCGCATGGTGCGGGGGTTCATAGGAACAGAACAGGAGCACTTTGGTTCTTATTGACTTTTAAAAGCTCTCAAGGACCTTCATGGACCTTCACTGCCGATATCGTGAATGCTAAAACGGTCCGCACACCTGAAGCTTGGTATGTTCACCCGCCTGAAGCTTGTCGATGAGGCCTCAGGCGGGTCTGATCATGTCGTACCGAGGTTGGGTTCTCAGCCCATTCCCCCGAGCAAAGGATGTGAAACATCTGCATGATGTGGCAGGCTCCTACTGGCGTAGCCACTGGCGTAGCCTACTGAGCTACTGGCACATCTTCCAGCTGGCTTCCATGATTGACTCATTTGGCTGTTCGCAATACAGCACATGCAACGAGCAGCTGTATGGAACATCATCCTCTCCTTCAGCTTCAACCATGTCCATATGCACCGGCAGTGCCGCCTGCTATCACGAAGGGTCAATCATATAACCAGCACTGCTTCTTACACTTCTCACTTTCCAGCCTCTGCAAGCAGCAAAGAACACACGACTCTGCACAACCTTCCTCTACTCCAAGGAGCTTCTCCCCACGTCTCAATTTGTTTGAGCCCCGCCACCTCAAAGGTATCGCCCCAATCCCTGGCGCCTTCTTCTGCGAGGCCTCCTCTCCGGCCGCCTTTCGCTTCAGCGTGTCCATGGGCTCCGGGTCCGCGTGGGTGGGGCGGTGATGGAGGGCGTCGAATTGGAAGGTTTGGGGAGGTTGACAAACCGCTGTTTGAGCCGTGCGATGCCGATGGGCGCGGGGGTTTGGGCGCAATTGAGGTCTGTTCATGAAGAACTGCAGCACTGCCTTTGAGAGAAACCTTCTCCCTTAGCTAGTAGGAAGCTTGACTTTCTCCGGGCTTTCCTCTTAGAACCTGGACTTTTCCATACTTTTCGCAGAATGGCCAATCACCTCGAAGTCCAGATTCGGCGGCCAAGGCGGCAGGACTTCGGTCCTTGACGAGGTTCGTGTGCTTCCGTGTGACGCACACCTTCAAGCGATCCTCCTTGCGCACTGCAAACCTGGGCGTTTGCAAGACTCATGTCTTGAGGTTGGGGCACTCTCCCTTGCCATTTTCTGGTGGGAAAGTGTCAAGCAAAATTGCTTGATATCTGGATATGCTTTGTGACGGTGTCCTGAATTTGGGCGTTTAGGAACTCCAAACAAAACTTGGTAGTGGATGTCAATGTCTTGATCAACAACATCTATTTCTGCCTCACACTAAGCAACCCACTCCTTGCCTGCCTTGCCATTGTGTCCCCCCACATTTGCATCACGGGGGTCAGTCTTCCTTAATGGGCCAGTTCTTGTAGGTCCATTGGGGCATGCCCACTCCACAGCTGGCAATCCTGATCCTGGGGCCGGAACTCGTCGGTACTTTGACAGTCGAGCTCCGCAAAGGTGTTGTAGCACCTTTGCCGTGGATGACGAAGCCAAAGGCTCCCATAGGGCTCCATTCAAACCATAAAATGGTCATGAAGTGGAACCTTTTTCACTGCAAAAACGATGCGAAGTCTTTCATAGCAGAAATCCACTTGGAGTTCCAACCGGCTCAGCGGCCATGACATGAATTTCCGACCATTCTCACTTGTTCCACCTAAGGCATGGCGGACAAAAAATCCCTTGTTCATAAGCCTGAGCCTTCGCCTGAGCCCAAGGGACCTCTCGGTATCGGTGTCGAGGTCGCCCAGGAAGATGGATTCAACTCCTCGGTGTCGGTCGCGTGCGGCAGTCGCTCCCGGAAGCCGCCGCGCGCGGAAGCCGCGCCGCCGCTGAGTCCGGCGTGGAGATGTTAGCGTCCTTGTTCCTAGTAGTTATGGCCTCCAAACTAATTAGGAGCGATGGCCTCCACCTAGTAACTTCTTATCATCATAGCGGCGGCGCAGAAGATGTAAGGAACATTGAAGAACCACTCATCCTCACACTTTGCCCTGATTCTTTTTTTCATCCCCATCATCCCTTATCATTCCTTCTCCATCGTCTCCGTCGTCCGCCATCTGTCCTGCTTCGGCGGTGCCTTCCTTCTCGGCGACGTAAGGCTCAGGACAATAGAAGGCCAAGTTCATACCCCAACCGCCTGGCTCCGTGGGAACGGATATCCGGGAGATCCGGAAGATCCGTCGGGCCTTCAGACTACCTGAAACACACGGGTACGTGGACGACGCGTGCGTAGTCTGATGGAAGAAGCAACATCTGCCATGCATTTCCTGGATTCTCCTCTCCTCTCCTCTGTCTCTATCTCTATCTCTATATATATATATATCCCTCTCTCTCTTTCTCTCTCTCTCTCTATCTTTTTTTCTGATTCCTGTAAGAGAGATTCCTTCAAGCAGGACTCTCAACCTCCGCCTCCAATGAGCTTCCGCCTAGCTTCCGCTTCGGACGTGCCTGGCAAGTCGGTGCGGTTCACGCAGATCTCCTCGCCTTAGGCATCGACAGCGGTTGCCAGAGGTTCGCTGGGTTTTGGCAGCGGTCGGTGACTAGTACTATAGTGCTTGGTTTTTTTGGGACTTGCCCAGCCTGGAACACAGCGGACCGTGAATCATTGGGTTCATGATGGTGAGACGGGCCCCGTCAGTTCCCCCATCAAACTGTGGGAAGTGACGCACAAAAGTTTCCATCCCACAAAAGGAAGTGGCGACTCAACGCCTTTCCTTTTTGCAGGTGGCGCGCAAAACCTTCCAAGCGGATGGCGAGTGCCAACCAACATCCTGCCAAATTCATCGACATGAACGGCATGAACTAAGCATCAACATGGAACCTGTCATGACCCTAAAAACCATCCCAAAACATCCACCTGGAGTCTCTAAGTACCTTGGAAAATGGGTACAAGGCTTTACAAGTAAGTACCTGTTTTTTATGGGGTCATGTCCCATTTTCTAAGGTGCTTTGGAGGGTCCAGGTATTTAAAAAACACCTCTACAGATCGACTCATTCGTCCGCTTGCACCAAGCCGGACCTCATCAGGAACATCACATCACATCGACCGTGTTTTTGACACCCTCCGACCACCCACCCAACGGCCAACCCTGCCCACGGCCCCGCCGTCTTCGAAGAGACCGTTGCAGGTGTTCCGACCCAGTCGCCACGCGTGTGGACGTGGAACTGGTCACCATAGATGTCGTCCCTCCGATTCGCGGCCTCTGGGGGACATTGCACCGCCAGGTCAGGCCTGGCCCGGTCGGCGCCGGCGACCGGGATCAAGTCACCAAGCAAGCGCTGGGGCTGTATGACCGAGGTCAACGAGTCGCGGTTTCACCACAAAAAAGGGAGTTGCGGAGTTGCAAGGAATGAGATGGAATGTAGAGCCATATGGGGCAATCCAGTACGGAGAGTACCTTGCCATGGACTTGTTCTTTGTCTCGCATATGTATGCATACGTGCACAAATGCATATATATATATATGCAAACAGCATCCACACACACAGGGATACTGGATACTTCTTTTTTGGTGCACACAGTGCGAGGCTTGCGGCTTGTTTGTTCCATTCTGCCTTCTCACCCGCCAACAGCGAAGTGCAGAAAACGTCCGCGACCAACGCGCCTCATACATTTCATCTCCTCGCGGCTGGCGCCCATCTCCAGCTTCACATAGCCCGGCCGCTCGAAGCGCGCCTCACGGCAGGTAGGCATGGGGGTCTGCAGTTCTGAGGTGGGCGCCGGTGAGAGTGACATGAGGACGAGTGACTCCTCCAGACGTCCCAAAACATCAGCAAATCACGGCAAGATCGAGAAAAACCAACCACTTCGGTGACCCCCCGTGCATGCGCCACTCCCAGCCCTACATATGGTGAACACATGTGAAAACTCCATCGAAATGCTGGCATCCCGGATTGGACCAGGGAATCGGCCTCCTCCTTCCTCTTGCCCTTCTTCTTGTCATTCTCGTCCAGTGTCACTCCTAGCGATCTGGCCAATCACCAATCTAGCTACCAATCAAGCAAATTTCAGCGCCTCATTGCATATTGCTAGATGAAGATCTAGAAACCAGACCGGCAAGGGGTGGACCTCCGGGCCACGAGGAGAGCTGAACCCACCAAATGGTGGTGAAAGATGAGAAAAATTGAGAAAGACTGACTAAAAGGATTCTTTAAAAGGAAGAAGGATAAGGAGAAAAAAGAGAAAAGGACAAGCTACCCGAAATATTGGACGAAATATTCAATCTCTTCCAACCACGTGGACCCCCCTCCACCCCAAAGCTCAATGTTTGAGATCTTGCAAGAGTGTCTTTGCGAATGGACGAAACAAATCAAACCCTGGGAACAGAAATTCAATCAACTCTTGCTCAACATTGACCTTTGGGGGTCGGTTGATGATAGTTATTGATTCAGGGGTTTGAATATTTGGTCCATCTACTGTAGTAGCGATGGCCTCCAACCTACTAGCGAGGAAAAAGAGAAAATACTCGTTCCACCCAGGCCTGGCAAAACCCATAACAGTGGCGCCCCAACAACACACCCAGGTCTTCTGATGTGTTGATTCTTTGCAGTCTCCTATATAGTCGCAAATTATCCACTTAATAGCGATGCACTTGTTCCTGGTAGCGATGCCCTTGGCTACTTACTCGTGGCTTCTGCCCTTTGTTACGTTCGTTCCGATTGTAAAACAAAGCGGGTCTCTCTCCCCCATGACCGCGGAGCTCTCTACGGATTCTCCCCACCACCAAACTCCGCGTCCGAACGGAGACACTTCGCAAGGCGAGACGACAACGACGGCGGCGACGCAGCTGAGCTCCTTTCTCCGAGCTCACTGAGACTCCCTCCCTCAACGGCAGCCGTCGCATGTAGCCTGGAGGCGACACGCTGTTCTGCTTTGCCAAGAAATGAACCAAGCCTTTTTGACATGCAAAAACTACAGAATTGGAATGAGTTGG